ACACACACACACACACACACACACACACACACACACACACACACACAGTGTATATTTAACACATCCACCCACACTATTCCACATTTTTTGCTGCCTTCCTGCTTTTGAAAATTGCTCTGAACTGTGTAGTTCTTTCTTGATATGTTGCCTTGGTGTTTTTTCTAGTTGGTATGCATTTGGGTTTTTTAAAACTATAAAATTCCCACATGAAATCAGGTCACTTTATTACTAATTTCGTTATGCTCATTTGGGGTGTGTGTGTGTGTGGCTGGGTGTGCAGTGGTGGGATTCAAATTTTTTAATTACCGGTTCTGTGGGCGTGGCTTGGTGGGTGTGGCTTGATGGGAGTGGCAGAGAAAGGATATTGCAAAATCCCCATTCCCTCTCCACTCCACTAACCTGCTTTCCAGCTCCGTTCTCTTGGGCAGGGCAACCAAAGAAGACCCAGCCGATCAGCTGGGACTCAGTGGGAGGCAGAGAAGAGATGGGGTTGGCGGGGCCAGTCAGGGGTGGGATTGGCTGGTTCTCCGAACTGCTCAAAATGTCTGCTACTTGTTCTCCAGAACCAGTCAGAACCTGCTGAATAACCACCCCTGCTTTTTTGGTGTCTGTATGCTTGATGCCTAACATTATTTGAAACTTTGATAGTAAATGGAGATGTGCAAGGAGGGAACCTAAAATAATGAAATAAAATCATAAAATAAAATAATAAAATCAAGGTAGCAGCTGTAAGTCATGACAAAAGGGTCAAAGCTTCTTCACGTAGCCATGGCCAACCTTTTGGCTCTTTCAACATTTGAGTAGACACCCAACTTCTTGGGTATCTCTTTTGTCTAAAACATCACCTCCAAGCCTTGGACATCTTCAAGTTTGAGGGCTTGGATTTCTGAAGTTTGTTGACAGGTTAAAGGAAGCAGCGGTGGTCCTCAGCCTTAAGACATCCAGCCCAAGTGTACAGTATCTCAACCAACTTTAACACGGGTGGACTTCAAGTACTAGACTGGAAGTTGAGTAATGGCAATGGGACTTCTTTTCTTTCTTGATTTGAAATATTCCACTGCTTATCTAAGGAACTTCATCAGTCTGAGGAAGTTGGTTAGGGGGACCCTATCAGAGGTGGTATTCAGCAGGTTCTGACCAGTTCTGGAGAACCGGTAGTGGAAATTTTGGGTCTTTTGGAGAACTGGCAAATCCCACCTCTGACTGGCCCCGCCAACCCCATCTATTCTCTTCCTCCTGAGTCCCAGCTGATCGGTTGGGTCTTATTCTGTTACCCTGCACAGGAGAACGGAGCTGGAAAGCAGGTTGGTGGAGTGGGGAAGGAAGGGCGATTTTACAGTATCCTTCCCCTGCCATGCCCACCAAGCCACACCCACAGAACCAGTAGTAAAAAAAATTGAATCCCACCACTGGACCCTATATAAGTCCCCCAGAGGGGTTTCATTTTCACCTAATGAGCCTATTCAGTTAGATGCGGAATGAAACCCCCCCCTCCCCCGGAGGACATATATGAGGTCCCCCTAACCAACATGCGCAGCATGAATCTCCTTGGATCAACAGTAAAACATTTCAAACCAAAGAAAAGACCTCCTGTTCCCATGACTCAACTTCCAGACAACTCTACCTGGAGGACTGAAGATCTTAACTGACATTCAGGTCCCAAAATTCCCCACCTACCATGTTGCAGATGCCAAAGTTGAGGAACATCTGAATGTTGAACCAAAGACTGGGTGCTGCCAACTTGCATACCTTGGCTCTGGTTTAAGTTGGCCTCGGTCAGCAAATATCTCCCTGCAGAATCTCTAGCATGTTTGCTATTTTCATGATGTTCACTTTTAACCTCTCCCATTGAACCTTCTAAAGAATAGAGTAGAATAGAAGTTGGAAGGGACCTTGGAGGTCTTCTAGTCCAACCCCCTGCTCAAGCACTAGACCCTGTACCATTCCAGATAAATAACTGCCCAGTTTCTTCTTAAAAACACCCACAACTTCTGAAGGCAAAGCTGTTCCACTGGTGAGTTGTCTTTACTGTTAATTCTAGGTTGTTTCTCTCTTCGGTTAGTTTCCAACCATTGTTTCTTGTCCTGCCCTCTGGTGCTCTGGAAAATAATGTGACCCCCTCTTCTTTGTGGCAGCCCTTCAAATACTGGAATGCTGCTATCATGTCACCCCTAATTTTGCTTTTCTCTAGACTAGCCAAACCCAAATCCTGCAGCTGTTCTTCATATTGTGTCCATTAGGGGCTGCAAAATGCCCAGAAAAGCTTCATTTATTTTTAGCACTTGTATATGTACATGACATTTCACATTCCTTCAGTCCTAGGACTGTTTACTCTATTTCACACGTTCCTCTCATTTCCCAGCCCCCTCCCCTCAATAGGTTAAGCTTGTGAGTGGACCAGGGGTGGGGAAAAAAACCTTTGGACCCCTTCTTCCCATTGTTTTTGTCATTTTTTTTCCCAGACGGAGAAAATCTTTTGAACTTTTCTGCAAAGCCATGGAACCGGATTGACTTCTTTGAGAAGTATTGTGGAATTGTTGATGTCTATTTAGACCGGATAGCAATAAAACACCCAGTCCTCCTTTTCTTTTCAGACATGGAGGAGTTGGCTAGAGAGAGCATCAGCTTGCTAGCTAAGCCATCTCTGGAATCTGATAGCCCCCAACTTTCCTCCTTTGGTGCCATCTTCATCTTGCTAAAATCTGCCCTTGGAGCAGGACTCCTGAATTTCCCCTGGGCCTTCAATAAAGCTGGTGGAATGGCCCCAGCGATCTACGTGGAACTGGTAAGTGACAATGGAAAGCTCTCCAGATCTCTTGTAAATTGGACCTCCTGAGATCTCTTGCAGATTGGATACCAGAGATCTCTTGTGAATCGAACCACCTGAGATCTCTTGCAGATTGGACCTCCTGAGATCTCTTGT